GTTAAGTGTTGAATCCATACAGGCCGTAGGAAAGTCCACCAAAATTGCTCAAAGTTGGCCAAAAGCTCTTTAGGTTCCACAGTTGAAAGAGGAGACCTGGAAAACCTGTTTGGCCGTTTTGAGCCAAATAGGTTTTCCAAATTCTCTTCTTCGAGGTTCCTTGTGTTCATTCCTGATGTAGCCCGGATCAGCACAATTTAGAAATATGCCAATATTCGAATTTGGCGTTGTTCGGCTCAGAGCGAAGATGGGACGTCTTTTGCACTTTTGCCAGTTCTTTTTGCTAGTTCCTTTCAAATTACGGGTTCCACGCTTGTGGGAGCTTAAGACTCTTGTCTATTTCAAACGAGGCTCGTGCTGTTGCATAACTTCACCCAACAATTCAAGGGGAAAAGCAGCCGAGAACCAACAAAATGCCCCACGGAGCCAAACTGCATCCCGAATTCTGTTCCAAATAGTAGAGACTTTGAATAGGTGTTTTCCTTGCAAAGTATATTCTGGAGCTGATATCGGAATTAATTTTTTAGTCATTCTGAGCCGTTTTAATTGTTCAAACTAGTGCCCGGGGAAAGACAAGTGCCTGAGTGGTCTGGATTAGCTAGGAAGTAGCTTGATTCAAGGTTCACACCTGTACCGTGGATAGTAGTGCTACCTTATAGAACATCACTCCTATCCCAGAGGCTCAGGTGAAATCTCACCCACACACTGATCCACAATCGCCCTAGGGGTATCAGTACCAAACAGCGCAGCTTCTGACAAAAAAACTTTAGGGTAATACCTATACCACCTTTCTCTCTCATATGCATGCTAACATGTGATTCTATGAGCTCTTCGTTGCCCTTATATCAGCCTACCAAAGCTAGCGTTTATATATAGCACTGTTTTGCAAAATTTCAATGATTTCAGGTCTTTCTTCCCCTCTCGCCTCGCTGACGGCTATCAATGCTATCGTGTTTGGCGTACATGGCTCAGTTTGCCGGGAGTTCTCGAACCCGGATTCCCTTCGAGCGCATTTCTTCGCCGGTGCTGCCGCTGGCATGTTGCAGAGTATCATCGGTGAGTGCCATGTTTTCAGGGTCTCATGATCAGATCGAAGTTAGTTGGAGGTAAATAGTTGTAAGCCAACATGGTGGTCTTTCCTGAGCTCGCCTCTTAGATACCTCAGATTTACTACCCCAGAAGTTGATTTTATGCTGAAGCCGCACAAATATCATTTATTTGCATTAATTGATTATTATCACTGCAGTTAAACATTTATTTAGTAATAATTACTAGTCTCATAAGTTCGCCCCTTCGTTCCCGCACGTTTACTCTTCTCCATTGGTTTTTCAACTACTTAAAAAAGTAGATAAATCCAAGCAAGTACAACTGAAAATTCACCTACTTGTTAGCGTACTTTCTAGTTATCCATCTTGTCCATTTCTTTTCATAAACTCCCCAAAACCGGTCTTCGATTTCTTCGAGGACCTTCGTGATCAAAAATTCAAGAAATCATTTTGGCCATACCACCCATACATCTGTAAACTAGGAAAGAAACCACCAACAAAGAGAAATGATTTATGGGTTTTACCTTTGCAAAAGAAAAACAAACATAGCTCCGAGTTCTGCGTGATTACGTGCAAGTAAAGGCCTACCGAGAAGGTTTGGGAAAAGAGACATTTCGAATCATCCGCGACTCGGTGGCGCAGACCCACCTTGGATCATGGTCAACACAGCCTTGACCATTTCCCAGATGGACACCTTGATCGCAGCAAGGATCTTGTAAACAATCGTAGTGAGCATGGCCCTGATCTCGGAGGGGTTAAATAATTCTTAATAACTTTCCTTCAGCACGGTTTATCCATAAAATTCTGAGGAATCCAGATGTAGGGGGCCATATTTGGATCAGTATCAGGCGGTGGTATTTGATGTGCAGAGATGCTGAGAGGGTTCTGGGTTTCACTGCTAGAAGAAAAGAGAAGTAGGCGCAGTAGATACATCCACGCGTTGTCTGCAGCCATCTTTAAGGGACTTAGGAAAGGTAGAAACCGGGCAGAATGGCCAGGGGTCTGATAAAGCTGGGACCTTTGGGTTAAGGGGAGTTAAATGAAGAAAGCTGACGGTAAGGTTCTCTACCAGGATCGTTTGCCTTGATAGGTTTCAACTACATGAAAATCCTCTGAACTACATGAAAAAACTACCTGGCCTGTGCGAGGGTAACTGATCGCTTTCGTTGGTTGAGACGACCTCTATTATATCTAGTCTGACCCGCGCGTTGTTTACGAGGACACAGAGTTAGGGACCTTGATGCCACGTTTCGAATGAAAGTATGTTTGTAAATAGATAGAAATACTCAATTGGTGGTATGTCCTTTATAATTCCCTGGCGAAATAACTGTGATTCTTTAGCCGCTCCATCAGAGCGATTGAAGCTGCTGATCCAGATCCAGACGGATGCGGCTCACACGCGGTACCAATCACCTCTGCATGCAGCTCGAACAATTATCGCCAAGCACGGCTATATGAGCCTCAACAGGTTCGTGCCATCAATCGATAAAATTAGTCGAATTTTTCCTCGACAGGGTGGTTTGCCATTTGGTAGCCAATTGCCTTTCCGAGTCATAAGACGTTTGCGATTTATTTGACCCTCGCCAGAACTATGGTGATATTTCGCCACACACGTGGGAGACGGCATTGAAATGGTGGACAGGGTGAAGAACTGCGCATCGTGTAGAGACCGGTACGAATGTCGACGACATCGAATGTGGCTGTAATAGGCGATGATGTTCCATCAAAGCGATTCGTTCTGATGTCAAAGCATATTTTGTTGATTGACGAACAACGACCTTATCCAAAGAACATTTTTAGCAAACGGCGCTAGGGGGAAATATTTGAAAAATAAATATTTTTTTATCATCTTCTTCCTTTGAATGAGCCGAAGTGAACACGTCATGTTACAAGATGGGAATTTTGGAGTGCGGCGAACGGGGGGAAGGCATGTGGCTGCCTATCTGTAGAGAGCTCAATTTTTGGGTTCCTCCGAAAATATTTCCTGTCCTGGTTAAAAAAAGAATAAAAAAACAAATGCTTTTCAACTGCTTGGTCACTCCTTGATGGGACCTCAGTCTAGGTATTTTTGACGCGGTGTCTACCAAAGACATCGAAAATCGCGCACTCTGTATGAGTGTTGCGTCCGAATGCGTTCCCGCTAGTGATTCTTTGTTTAGTGGATGGCAAAAATAGGCAGTGTTCGACAAGAAATAGCTAGAAATGTCTACGATGTCGTAGTACACATGAACTTTCCAATTGGCAGTTCTATCCAAACCAAGAAAACGCCGCGCCCGCCTCGCGCGCAAGACGAACTAGCGGAATTAACGGTTTTTTGACGCGTCTTCCATATCGATCCCGAGGGCCATAGCGGCGTTAAGCGGTGTTACTTCATCTAAAATTTCTAAATTACTCTTTTATAGAAATGAGCAAGTTTTTTGAAAAACCGGGTAGAATATCTGAAAATCACTGTTTTCAGAGGGTTCTTGGCGACGTTACTCCGTGACTGCCCTGCCTTTGGCATCTATTTTGCCTCATACGAATACATGTCACGAAGGATGAGCAAAGACGGTCAAATGGAGTCACTCACTGGTCCACAGCTCCTTCTAGCCGGAGGTGAGAGGTTTTCCCAATAATCTAGGATTTTTGTTTCGAAAATACTAGAAAATTGTCATACTTAACAGCACTAGCTCTATGTTGGCAAGCTGCCAAAGAAGTCTCTTAGTGATGATTTTACAGGTGGTGCCGGTATGTTGTCATGGTTGTTCAACTATCCAACGGATGTTGTCAAGACTCGGTTCCAAACCACTAAATATCGTAATTACATGCATTGTATACGAAGTACATATCGAGAAGGCGGATTACGGGTCTTCTTCACTGGTCTCGGCTCCACGTTATTACGGTAGGAAATTTCTCATTCCCGTGTCAAGCTTGAGAATTAAGTTATATTCTGAGAGATGGGCTCTCTGTTTCCCTGCTGAGTGAAAGTGACCATCAGAAGCACAACCCACGCTGACCGTCTGGGCGGAGTCAGGCCTGTCTTGTGGCTTCTCTATTAGTGTGTTCCTTTTTCCTGAAGGAGAGAAGCACCTATGAGGAAAGAACAACGACAGGCCGTGTTCCGTTCCTAGTAACAGCGTCGAGTAGTCTTTCGGAATGTCTTTACCTTTCCCTCCCTCCTTTCTTTGCCTCTCATTTAGCTTTTATTTTTCAGGGCCTTCCCTTCAAATGCTGCTACCTTCTTCACAGTTGAATGGACGTATCGTCTGCTGCTCGATTTCAACATACTCGGCGTTGGAACACCTGCTGAACACCATCTGCAGGTAGATGAGCACACCATTGCAGAACGATTACGTCGAATTTTGCCCTTGGCATGCTTGCAATCGGTCTATGCGAGTGACGTGGTCGCTGGTGCTAGTAATGGTTCACAGCAGATTCTACTTTTGCTTGATTAAGGAGATCCTTCATTCACTATCACCCTCACTCCATGTAAGTGGATTGATAACCGATCTGTCTCACTAGTTAGATGATAGTTAGTTGATCGAGCGTTGAAAAAGGTGTCACCCAGTAAGTGCACTTTCGGTCTTGTTCGCTGCGGAAGTTGATGGGAGTTCAGAATGTCGACAGCGGCTTCTCCACCAACTTTTGTCGCTTTTTTTAACGATTGGTGGAGAACGGACTGGCTTTGGGCCAGACTCAGCCCCCTAAGACGTAGTAGTACGTAGCAGTACGTACGTAGCATCCGGCGATCAAGACCCTAGCGATCCCAGCGATCAAGATTATATTAGGTTGTTCGAAAAGGAATGCGCGTTGACTTTGTCTATTTATTTCTCTTCCGCTATA